CACCTCAGGACCAGCAGGGGCGCTGCTCTCAGCTGCGGTTCTTCCGCTTCTTAAATCCGCAGAAGAAGAAAGTCTTGAATCAGACGAAGAAGAAATCTTTGTTCTGGCGGCAGCGTGTGTTCGGAACCGGTTCGTTTCATGAAATAAAAGCTGAATTGGGTCCGACATGGTGAAGTTATCCGCGGAGCTGATCGAGCAGGCTGCTCAGTACACCAACCCGGTCCGGGACCGAGAACTGGACCTCCGAGGTAACAGACCCACTTCTCAGGCCTTGGTCCAAATCCTGAACCAGGAACAGTTCTGGTGTGGACCCAGGAATCTGGTCTTTATGAGTCCGGCAGCTTTAATGGGTTAGGACCTCGGTGTGGTTCTGGTCAGGAGGTTCTGATCAGGAGGGTCTTGTGGTTCTGGGTTCCAGCTGAGCTTGGATGTTTTCTTGTTTCAGGTTATAAAATCCCGGTTCTGGAGAACCTGGGAGCCACTCTGGACCAGTTCGACACCATCGACCTGTCAGACAACGAGGTCCGGAAACTGGACGGGTTCCCTCTGCTGAGGAGGCTGAAGACGGTTCTGATGAACAACAACCGGATCTGGTGGGTTCTGTGGGTTCTGGTGTCAGATGTTCTTGAAGAACCCTTTGGACTTGAATAATCTGATGTTCTGGTTCTTCTCTACAGTCGGATCGGGGAGAACCTGGAGCAGGCTCTGCCGGGTCTGAGGGAGCTGGTTCTGACCAACAACAACATTCAGGACCTGGTGAGGAACGCGGGTCGTGTTGGGTCTTAAACTGAAGGTGCTGGTACTGTTGGTTCTGTTGGTCCAGTCTGAACCCACCTGTTAGTCTCAGCAGGGACTCATCCTGGGTCCAACAGAACCAGAACCAAACATCCACACAGTTAAAGTCACGTGTCTTAGAAGACCAGCTGAGGGTTCTGGTCCTGCAGAGTCCAGGGCTCATGTCTATAAAACTGTTTCACAAAACCAGTTCAGAAACCAGTTTACACCAGTTCACAGCTCTATGTCTTACAGTTCTGTGTCTCACAGCTCTGTGTCTTACAGCTCTGTGTCTTACAGTTCTGTGTCTCACAGCTGTGTCTCACAGCTCTGTGCCTTACAGCTCTGTGTCTTACAGCTCTGTGTCTTACAGTTCTGTGTCTCACAGCTGTGTCTCACAGCTCTGTGC